TCGCTCCACACCGCGGCCGCCCGGGCGACCGCGGGAGGCGTACTGGCAAGTGCCGGTGCTATCTGCGCCTCGGCGGAAGCAGCTGGCGAGCCGCGGGAGGTGCGGGCCAGCGCGAGGCCGACTGCTACAAAGTCGAGTATCGAGACGAGCGGGAGGAGCAGCAGCCACAGCAGCGCCCGCACCGCCGTCTCGACGGGCGGCGAGCCGTCCTCTTGCGCTCGGCGGACTGAGTCGAGGCAACAAGCGGCACCGACGCCGCCCCACGCCAGGCCGAGTGCGAGCCGAGAGGCAGCGTCGAGCTCCACGGCGGCAGCGCGGAGCAGCAGGCCCGCGAGCGGCATCGCCGAGGCGAGGAAGCAGGAGCAGAGGCGGGCGGCCTGGCCGGCGCGCCTCAGCAGCGAAAGCTTGCGGCACGCCTCCCACTGCTCCGCATGCACGTCAGAGCGCGACCGCACCGCCAGCAAAACGTCCTCCGCGGGCGGCGCACGCGCCCACGTCAGCTGCTGCTCCTCGAGCCACGCCGTCGCCTCGTCGGTTGCATGGGCATCGGCGCTACCCTTGGAGCTCTCGCCGTCAGCCTTGCAGCTCGAAGCGGGGGCGGGGCGGCGCAGCGCGATGCTCCACGCTCGCCGCGTTGCTGCGTCCAAGGCGTGTCGGCCGTCGGCGCCGAGGAGGCTGCTCGCGAGGGCGCTAAGGATGGCGGGCGCGGCGAGAGAGAGAGAGAGCCACAGGAGCTGTGGCGAATCGCCGAGCGAGCCTTCTCCGTCACCACCCTCGCCACTGCCAGCGTCGTCGAGCAGCCACACCGCGGTGGCGTCGGCGATGGCGTCGGCGCTGCCGTCGGTGGCAGCTTCGACGGTGGCGCCGGCATCGGCAGTGCTGGAGGCGTGCGGCGCAAGGGCGGCGCCAAAGGCGACCACGACGGCGCAGACGAGCGCCGTCGCGGTCATGCGTCGCTCGGCCGAGGACACCGGCTCTAGGCGAGGCGCGACGAGGGCGGAGAGGAGGCGGCGGGTGGGCTCGGTGGCGGCGGGGCGGAGCGCCCCCTCGAGCAGCGCGACCGCGGCCGCCCAGAAGAGAGCAAAGGCGCCTGTTGGCTGGTCTCTGGCGACCGTCCTTGCGAGCCGCCAGGCGGGCTGCGCGGCGAGGAGGATGGAGAGCCAGCAGTCGAGGGTAGGTGCGGCGGGCGGCGGCGGCGCGAGGAGGAGGGTGGCGGCGCAGAGGGGCAGCGCCAGGCCAGTCTGAGCCCACCGCTCGACGAGCGGCGGGAGGCGGTCGAGGGCGAAAGCGGCGGCGAACGTGGAGGCGGCGGCGAGGGCGAGGGCGGCGGCGTGGCGGATCGGACCGGCGGGCGTGGCGCCTCGGCGCCGCTGCACTTCGTGCAGCACCGTTCCGGCGGCGAGGGCGGGCAGGCCCGGCCCAAGGAGGAGCGCGAGGGCGAGCGAGCCGAACGGCAGAGCCAGAGGGGAGGCTCCCGCCTCGATGGCGGCGTGCCAGAAGGTCGCGGCGAGGGAGAGGGCGAGGGTGGCGGCGAGGGCGGATTTCGAGCGCAGTCGTCCGACGAGGGAGGCGGCGAGCGCGCCTCCAAAAGTTGCCGAGCCGTACAGCCAGCTGGGTCCGTTGGCGAGGTTGGCCTGACGGAGCTGCGGGTGGAGGGCGTCTGCCGCAAAGGGAAACATGAGGACGTACTGGCCAGTCGGCACGAAGCCGGAGGCGGCGGCGATGAGTAGCGAAGAGAGGGCGGCCACCTCAAACGCGGGCAGAGAGGTGGCGACCGCCTCTCGCAGCCGGGCAGAGGCGCCGGCCCGCCGGCCCGAGGCGGCGGCGGCAAAGCCGGCGAGGAGGAGGAGAGAAGAGGAGGCGAGTGGGCCGAGGGAGGCGAGCCGGCGCAGGAGCCACGGAAAGGGGTAGCCGCGGCTGCTGCAGAGGCCGCACGAGGCTGGGCAGGCGGAGGCGAGCAGCGAGCGCTGGGCGGGAGTCTCGACGCCCCACCCGCCCTCCGAGCAGTCAAAGCTGGCCCACTCCGTGCACTGCAACGGGCGAGGAGAGAGGCGTCGGGTCGGTGGATTGCTGGGCTGAGGTGGTGGGGCGGGGCTGCAGCGAGCGCTGGGCCGGAGGTCGGTGGAGCGCGGGCGGTGCAATCGCAAGAGGGAGGCGGCACCTGCCAGCCAGAGAGCTGGGCGATATCTGTAGGGCTGGCGTGGTCGTAGCATGATTCGAGATCGTCGTTGACGATCGCGTGGAGCGCGACGAGGAGCACGGCGGCGAGGCGGAGCGTGGCGAGCGACATATCGTGGGTATTGTGGTGCGATGAAGCACTGGGAAGCAACCAAGCTTGGCTTTCGGATTTATACAATACTAGCAGGTTGGCTCGCTAGTCGCTCGCCGGCCCGCGCAGCACGCGCGGGCCTTTTTTGTGGTCGGATGTTGGTCGTCTCGAATTTGATCGTGGGCAGGGCGTGAGAAAGCTGGACGGCTCGGTCGATGCGAGCCACCAGCTCGTGAGCGACGGGCGCGACGGGTTCCTCGGCGTAGGCTTGGGCGTGGTGAGCAGCGCCGGCGAGAGAGGGACGGCATGCGGCTCCCAAACGAGCCGCACGGGCTTCATCTGGGCCGCCGAGGCCACCTCCTTGGTCGCGGTGGCGGGCGTGAAGGCGAGGTGGGCTGAGGCAAGCGCTGAACGTGCCGTGCCGCCTTGCGCCCCTGAGGAGGGACGAGTGTGTGGGGTGCCACGGGCGGGGGGGAGCGGTGAGAGGAGAGCGGTGGGCACCCCCACGAGGGGCTGCGCTGACGCCGCCTGCCACCCCACGCACGCCACTGACGCTGTGGGGGCGGCACGATCGAACGCGCTGGCCGGGCGGGCCGTCTGAGTCGCCCAAGCGGTGCTCTGCCGGCCGGTGGACGCGAGGGTGGCCCAAGAGGGCTCAAAGTACGGAGCCGATACCCGGCCGTCCCGGACGCCTGGCACGCGGGCCAATGGTCCAGCGGTCCTGTGCATGGCTGGAGCGAAGGAGGGAGAGCTCAGGAGGGCGACGGGGCAGGGAAGGGGGCGATGCGATGCGGCGAGGTCTAATCGGCGGCGTGGAGAGAGGAGGTGCCAAAAGGCGACTATAAAGAGGCCTCTACGGGTGATATAGTGCGCCATGCCGGCGGGAGAGGTCTCTCACCGCCCCCCGGGCCGTCTCGAAGGGCCGTGCAGCCCACGCCACGAGGCGCTGCTGGCGGGAGCCTGGAAGGACTTGGCCTCGTTGCACCGCGCCGCGTTGATTCGCGACCACCGTCGGCCGCGGACGGCGTCGGCGTGGCGGCCGCGGGCGCTCGCGAGACGCGCCGCTCTGCGCTGGTTCGGTTCGTTCGACTCGTTGTGCCGCCGCACGCCCGGCGGCCGCGGGTCCCAGAAGTGGTTGCGCGGGCCTCTTCCTTTCGGCCGCGGGACGGCGTCGGGCACGTCGTCGGTCGCAACAGCGGCGCGGCGAGCCGTGGCACGTCGTTGCTGGCGCTGGTGGTTTGAGGTCGGCATCGTCCAGAGCTCGGTCGACGAGTCGAGAGCTTCAGCTGGTTCGGTGCCATGTTTGTGCGGAAAGTGGCAAATATATCTCTTTGATGAGAAAAACAAAAGCCGGTGGCTGCAGGCCCAGCGCATGTCAGTCGCGCTGCAGCTCGCGGCGGCGTTGAGAGGCAGAGAGAGCAAGTTTTTTTTCAACCAATCCTCGCTACCCAAACGCGGCCAAAAAAAAAGAAACAAAACAGACCACCCGAGGGAGGGATGGGAGGACGGCACGCCGCCACGATTTTAGGGGAGGGGTCAACGCGGCCAAAGGATATGAACTCCGCCTGAGTTTTTCTTCATTCGATGCGCCCTCTCTAGAGGCAGTCGCACTTTCACGCCGAGCGGCTAGCGAGCCCCCGCCCCGGTCGATGCAAGCTCAGGCTCCCTCACGGCAGGAGCCTGGCTCCGCGGTCGAGGCGGCGCTGCTCTGCATCCCGCAGAGCCCCTCCGTCTCTCGGGTCCGCCGCTCCGCCTCCGGCGCCTCCGTCCTCTCGCCGTCGCCGCGCTCAAAGCCGCCGCGCCTCCAGCTCGTGCTCGACATCGACCACACGCTGCTGCACGCTGCGCACGTGCCGGGCGGCGCCGAGGCGGTGCCGATCGATGGCGTCCACTCCTTTCTCCTCGACAACCCGCGCGCGCGCAGGCAGGACCGCTACCAGGTGCGCACGCGGCACGGGCTGCACTCGTTTCTCCACGAGGTGCAAAAGTTCGCGGACGTGCACATCTACACGATGGCGGCCAAGTCGTACACGCGCAAGGCGCCTCGGCTAGTCGTGCACAGTGGGCTGCGTCAGTTCTTGCTGACCACAAGGCGTTCGCTCGCCAGGTCCTCAACGCGATCGATCCCGAGGTGCGGCTGATCCGGGGCCGGGTCCTCTGCCGCGAGGACAACCAGCCCGACAACTTCAGCAAGCGCGTCTCGCGCCCTGCGGCCGGCGGGGCCTGGACACGTCCGTGACATGTCCGAGACATGCCCCGCAGGAGCCTCTCCCACCTCCAGCCTGCAGACGCAGAGCCTGCGGAGCTCGACGAGTTCAAGGAGAGAGCTGGCCGCGGTGCGGCAGAGGTGGCGGCGCCTCTTCACAGCTTGCAGCTGCGATCAGGCGGCGTACCTCGTGGTGGACGACCGCGACGAGGCACGCGACACGCATCTCTCCGCCGGACAAACAACCGACCGTGACTCATCGCCCAGCTGCTCACGCCCTCGATGTCCAAACAGGCGACCGACTCGAGGTCTCTCGAGGTCTCTCGGCCGGCGAATCGCTCGCCGTGAGTCCGTGGCTGGTTGCTAGGTGTGGGACAACGTGTCCCGGCCGCACGTGCTGCAGGTGCCCGCCTTCCGCGCCTTCGACTCGGACAGCCAGCAGGCGGCCGACGCCCCCCACGCGACAGTGTCCCCGGACGTGTCCCGGACGTGTCCTCGACGTGTCCTGTACGTGTGCTGGACGTGTCGCACAGGCGCACATCCCGCCGCGCGTGCACGACTCGAGCGCCGCGGCTTGGGAGGCGGACGGCGGCGGCGGCGGCGGAAGCAGCAGCGCCAGCAGCAGCAGCAGCAGCAGCGGCAGCAGCAGCGCCAGCGGCGGGTTTGCGATGCCCGACCCGACTCTGATGGACGTGCTGCGGGTGCTGCGGAGGGTGCACCTCGATTGGAGCAGTGGCGGCGAGGAGAGCGCAGACCGCGCGCTCGACGCGCAGAGGAAGGGCGTGCTGGACAAGGCTCATCTCCCCATATCTCCCCATATCTCCCCATATCTCCCCATATCTCCCCAGAGGAAGGGTGTGCTGGACAAGGCGCCGAGAGACAGCCGAGACGCAGCCGAGACGCAGCCGAGAGGCGGCCGAGAGGCGGCGCGGAGGCAGCACAGAGGCTAGCAGAGAGAGGAGGGCGAGTGGGTGGCATGGCGCACCCGCCTGTTTGGCGGGGTCGGCGGGGGATCGGCAGAGCTCACCGGAGAGCTGCCGAGATCGCAGGTGCACCTCGTCTTCGCGGGCGGGCTGCTCGAGACACCGGACCACCCCGAGAGGTGTGCGGGGAGGGGCCGAGGCTGGCCGAGAGTGGCCCGTCCCGAGAGGAGGACGCCCCATGCTGCCGCCTCTCCCCGCCTCGCCAAGTCTGCGACGTGTCCGCGAGATGAGCGCGGCGTGTCCACCACAGGTGCGCCTTCTGGCGGCTCGCCGAGTCGCTCGGCGCTCGCTGCTGCAGGAGGCGGGACGCAGCTCTTGTCGCGACTCGTCCGAGACACGTCCGTGCCATGTCCACGGCAGGCGCGCAGTGCCACAGGAAGTGGGACGCCACCTTCATCACGCACGTCGTCGCGGGCGAGATGCGAGCTGAGGCTCTCCATCCGTGTGTAGAGTGGGCGGTGAAGGCTGTGTGGTGCCTCCTCACAGGCGAGAAGCGGTCTGGCTCGGTGGAGCGGGCGGTGAAGGAGGGGGTGCACGCCGTCTCAAAGGCGCCTGCCGTTGCTCCATCGGCTCATCTCGGCTCATCTTTGCCCCTCTCGGCTCATCTTTGCCCATCTCGGCTCATCTCGGCGCATCTCGGCGCATCTCGGCGCGTCTCGGCGCATCTCGGCTCATCTCGGCGCATCTCGGCGCATCTCGGCGCCTCTCGTGCACGCCGCCTCGAAGGAGTGGCAGCAACCAACAGGGATCCATTGCGAGGTACTTCAGCCGATGCCCCCCTGCTCAGGAGTGGCTACTCCACGCGGCGCAGCGGTGGTGCAAGCAGCGCGAGGAGCTCGACACAGCGCCGGGTGTGCCAGCAGGCATCACCTCACGTGAGTTGGTGAGCTTCTTGCTGATAGGAGCTCTACCCTGCGCCGGGGGTGTTGCCCGACCCGTCGCGGCTGCCGCCCGTGCCGTCGCTTCCGTCGGTCGAGCAGCGGATCAAGGCGGCGCTGATGGCGGTCAAGCTGATCCCGGTGGTCGGCCAGAATGGAGAGCAGCGCGATTTCCGCTTGCGCGTGGCGACGCGCTACTTCGTCGGCCCCGCGCTCTGGCCGCGCGTGAACGCCCTCTTCGATCGTTTCCAGGCCCTCGAGTCTAACCCCAACGAGACCTCCAACGAGGAGCGGGATCGGGTGCTGAAGGAGCTGACGAGGCTCGTCGGCGACGATGCGTTGGGTCGGATTGTTAGCGCTACTGAGCCTCCTACGACCTAGCCCGGACAATATCGGCGGGGTGTGTTGTCTCATCGATGTATCTGTCCTCTGTCATCGATCGCCCATCTCTCCAGAGTACTGTACACGAGGCGTTTCTAAAACTTTTAATCCGAATGGGACATCATCACATGCAAAAATCGGGTGCTCCCCGCGCGCGCCGCGGCTGGCCGTGGTCGCCGTAAACCGCACATCGAGGCCGCCCCCTCAACTGCAACCCCCATCCATCATGTGTATTCAGCGTCAAGGAGTCACGCGCATTTGGCCACCTCTGCGTCGGTGACGGCAAGCTTCTTGGCCTCCTTCTTCTTGCCCTTCTTAAGATAGTACTCAAAGTGCTCCACCCGGCGCTTCTCCATCGCCGCCTCGAGCGCCGTCTGCTCCTCGAGTGACACAACTAGCTCCAGCGCCTTGTTGTAGTCGCCCTTGAGCGTGTAGTGCTTGAGCCACTCCTCGCGGCACTTGGAGTAAAAGGCGGTCTTTGCGGACTCGACCATCAGCTCTTCGCTGTCGTCGACGCACAGCGCAAACGCCTCCTTGAAGTTGCCCTCCTCGATGTAAAATCTCTGCCTGGAGAGGCGGCGGCGCGGCGGGTGAGCCTCTCGCAGTCCCGACAGCGCGGCGGAAACCACGGCGATGGCGACGATGGGAGCGTGGCGAGGGCGGGGGATGGGGGGCGTCTTACCACTCCTTTCGTGCGAGCTCCTGGTCCAACTCCTCGTACTCGTCGCACTCTAAAATCTCTTCGGGCGTGGTCGCAAACTTCTTCGCCGCCGCGTAATCCTGCTTGGCGAGGAGCGACTTCATGTGTTCGCTCCGCTTCGTTTCAAAGGCCGCGTCGACCTCGGCAACCTCAGCGGGTGTGACGGCCATCTTGATGGCGTTGGGGTAGTCGGCGATACTCGTGTAGTAGCTCATCCACTCCTTGCGCTTCTTCTCCATCGCCATCTCTTCGGCGAGCTGGATCCCCTCCTACGCCGAGCGCAAACGGGTGCCGTGAGAGGAAGCTTCGGTGCCTCGGCGCGATGCTGCAGTCGCGCGGGAACCCTCTCGACCTCGTCCGCTATCTTCTTGGCACCCTTGTAGTCGCCCTTAGCCTTGAGCTCCTCGATCTTGGCCTTCTTGGTGGCGGCGGCGGCATCCTGCAAGGGCAAGAGGGTGGCTTGATTGGTTGAGCGGGGGTTCAGCTCCCGCTGGCCAGGCGCGAGGGTGCGCGCTCACCGCGACCGCTTGCACCTCCTCGTCCGTCACGGCGAGGCCGGCTGCCTTCTTGAAGTCGCCCGTGTCAATATAGTACTTATGCCAGTCCTTCCGAGCCTGTTCCGGGGCCGACTTCTACACACACGAGGTGGTGGGGCAAGGGGGGGCAACCCTCGCGTCTCCACGTCTGACGACAGGAGCCCCACGGCATTCAAAGTGCAAGGCCCAGTGCGCGTGGGTGAGCGGTGTGTGTGTGTGTGTGTGTGTGTGTGTGTGTGTGTGTGTGTGTGTGTGTGTGTGTGTGTGTGTGTGTGTGTGTGTGTGTGTGTGTGTGTGTGTGTGTGTCTCACGTCACTGCATCCTCCGCCGGTTCCTCCCGTCGCCTCTTCTTTGTTCGAATGTTGTTCAATCCATCCTTCACGAAGCCCTCCCATGTAGCTATAGCGTTCTTGGCGAATGTCTCGAAATGGCCAGCAGGCGCTGTCTGCTCGCGGTCTGTGCGGGCCGCTCGTCCTCCTCGCCCTTCTTTCGTCCTCCCGTCCCTCCCCTCCACCATGGCCTTCTCGGCACTTCTTTCTCCATCCGCCTCGCCCTGCCTTTTCGTGCGGAGGTGAGGAGCCAGATTTTTTTGTCGCATGTCACTGTCACCCCTCCCCTCCTTGTGGCGGCTCCCCGCCACAAGACCTATCCGCTCCCCTCTCCTCGCCACACGCCCCTCCCTCCTCCTCCCTCCCTCCCCGCGGCCCCTCGCCCAGCACCGCGACCAGCAGCGCCCCCCACCGCCACCCCTCCTGCGACTTTGCCTTCGGCTTGAAACCGGCGAGCAGACGGTGTCGAAGCATCATCACCATCACCGGCCGCCACATCGGGGGCGCCACGTGCCCCCGCGCCTGGCAAAAGGCCTTGTACAGCTGCTTAAAGCCCTCCGCCGTCCGCGGCACCAGCCTCACCCGCTCGGCGGCGGCACCTACGGAAACGGGCCGAGAAGGCTCCGAAGAACTTCCACCTCTGCAGCGCCTCTACCCCTCCCTCGTGTCGATCCCTCGTAGTGGCTCTCGCGGGGTCTCTCTGGCTGACCTCAGGCCGTTCTCGGGGTGATCTCGGCTAGTCTCGTCGCCTCCCTCGCGGTGGCTCTCCACCAGCCAGAGCGCAAACTGGTCCGCCACGTGTGCCGCCGTCGGGTGCCTCCGCCCCCGCGACGCGACCAGCTCCTCGAGCGAGTGCGCAAAGTTGCAGCGCGAGCCGTGGCAGCCGGGCGCCACGCCGCCGCCGCCCTCCGTCGGCCCCGTCCCCTCGCCCCCCTCCTCCGCCTCGTCCGCCTCGAAAAAGAGCGAACGGCACAGCTCGCAACGCACCGAACCGCCGCCGCCGCCGCCGCCGCACGCCCCGCCGCCGCCGCCCCTCACTGCCGAACTATCCTCGAGCCGCGCCCCTGCCTCCAAAGCGGCCTCTGTCGCCTCTGCCGCCCCCGCCTCCTCCCCCGCCTCTTCCACTGCCTCCGCCTCGCCAGCCTCGCCAGCCGCGCCAGCCTCGCCAGCCGCGCCAGCCGCGCCAGCCTCGCCAGCCTCGCCAGCCGCGCCAGCCGCGCCAGCCTCGCCAGCCGCGCCAGCCTCGCCCGCCCCTCCGCCACGCACCATCCCCTCCTCCTCCTCGCCCGCCCCGCCCTCGCACAGGACGGAGGCGCCCTCGCTCACACCGCCGCCACCTCTGCCTCGCTCCGGCAGCGCCGACCCCTCCGCCGCCTCCTCCTCCTCCCCCTCCGCCACGTCCGCCCCGCCCTCCTCCCGCCCCGCCTCCGCCCCCCCTCCCCCCTCCTCCGCCCTCGCCTCGCACTGCTCCGCCTCCCGCTCGTAGTCGCACTCGGCGGGCAGCTCGCCCTCGCCCGCCACCCCCACCTCGCGCGCAAGCCGAAGCGCCTACTCCCACCCACGCACCAGCTGACGACTCGCCGCCCGCCTCGCCCCGCCCCTCGCGATCGAGGCGGCACGCCAGCGTCAGCAGCTCCGGGAAGCGACTCGACCAGACCTAGTCAGGGGGGGAGCCCCCCGGTGAGTCGCTCCAGCGGTGAGCAGCTCCAGCGGCCAGCGGCCTCCGGTTTGGCAAGCAGACCTCGACGTATAGCCCCGGCACGCCGGGCAGCAGCTGGCGCAGCCTCGGCGGCAAGTCGGCGCGATGGTGCCACGAATTGCGCACGAAACGGAGGAGCGCGCGCGCCGAGTCGGGCGCATAGCCCCGCCTGCTGACTCAAGCAATCCGCAGTTGGTGACTGTTGGAGAGCGCTTCACGCACCGGACGCGCAACCGCGCCGTCTCGACCCCTCCGCCAGCAGCGACGCGGGGACGCGCTCGCCCCACGGCTGCCAGCCCAACCGCGCCGCCTCCGCCTCGAAGAGGCGCAACGCGGCCGACACGGCGGCGGGCACGGCGGGCGCCTCTGGCTGCGCGCTCGCCAGCACCTCCACCGCGTCAGACACCTCGAGCAGCAGCCGCAGCTGAATTAATTACTCGTTATTCATTGATTACTTAGGCGGAGAGGAGGACACATCGAGCAGCAGCCGCATTCACTATTCTTAATTAATAATTACTATTAAATTAATTAGTGACACCTCGAGCAGCAGCCGCAGCCTGCTGGAGCCGGACCAGAAGAAGGGGTGGCGCAGCACGTCCGCCGCGGCGCACCGGCTCGCGGGCAGCGGCTCGAGCACCTGGAGGAGCCAATCAAGGATGGCGAGGAGCGGGTGAGGAGGCTCGCCCGAACGCCTCCGGCTCGGGTGCGCCGACTGGAGCAGCGCGTGGAACTCGCCGACGCGGCCGCGCGCCTAATTAATTAGGTTCGTCTTAATTATTAATTAATTAGGTGGAACTCGCCGGCGCGGCCGCGCGCCGCGACGCGGCTCGCGCACTCGCGCGGCAGGCAGAGGGGAGGGCGGCAGCCGCGCGCGATATTGAGCTCGATCTCGATCGGCCCGCCTAATTCATTCATCGGCAATTAATTAGTGGCTGATTCGGCGATGTCGATCTCGATCTCGATCGGCCCGCCCGGGTAAGGGTGAGACCCACACAGCGCCGCGTGCAGCAAACAGCCGAGCGAAAACACGTCCGCCGGCCTCGCGTCGCGCCGCTCGCCGCACCCCTCTCCCTCGCCGCCGCCTCCCTCGCCGCCGCCACGCTCGCCGCCAGCGGCGCTGCGGCGGCCCAGCTGGCTCCGGTCGGCGGCGAGGAGAGGGCGCAGCAGCTCGGGCGCCGACCAGCCGCGCGAGCCGAACCTAATGAATTAATTATTACTAACCTAATCAGTCATTATTGATTAGGATCTCGCCGACCAGCCGCGCGAGCCGGACCCGAGCGAGGCGGTGGAGGAGGCGTGCGAGAGCGGGCTCGAGAGGCCGGCGTGCACCTGTTCTCAGCTGGAGGTGTGAAGAGGCGCTCCTCACACCTGCAGGCCGGGCAAGCCTTCGGGTGCACCGACGCAGCGAACCCAAAGTCCGAGAGCTTGGCGACGCCGGCGGCGGAGAGGAGGACGTTGGACGGCTTGACGTCGCCTAGTTAACTGATCATTGATTGTTAACTAATTAGGCGGAGAGGAGGACGTTGGACGGCTTGACGTCGCCGTGGGAGAGGCCGTGCGCGTGCAAGTGCGCCAAGCCCCGCACCTGGCGGAGGCGCGCCGTGGACGCGTCAGAGGGCGTGTCCCAGCCGCGTGCGAGTGCGCCGAGCTCTCTCGCCGTCTGCGCGAGCAGCTGCAGCCCGTCCGTTGCAGGGCGCGGGTCCTCCCCCCCCTCCTGCGCCTCCCCGCCTCGCCGCCCGCCCTCCCCTCGCCGGCGCGGGCTCGGCGCGGCGCCGCCCGCACGCCTCGCCGCCTCCGCCACCGCGCGGGAGAGGGGCGACTCCGGCTCCTCCGCCTGCAGGAAGGTTCCGAGAAGGCTCGTGCTCGGCTCGAGGAGCGGGCGAGGGCGGCCCCTCCCCACACCTCGGACGCGCCGGCGCGGAGGGAGGGAGGAGGAGGGCGACAGTCTGGCAGAGGGTCGTGCGTCGCGTCGATCCACTGGGCAAGCGTCATCACTGCCGCCTGACGAGCCGACGAGGCGAGTAGGCTTCTCCGGGACCGCTGTTAATTAATTAAGAAACTAATTAACTCATTCATTGGTTGAGTGGGCTTCTCCGGGACCGCTGTTAATTATTAATTAAAGAATTAACTACCTAATTAGTCGTCTAGGGTTAGGGCTCGGGTTCGGGCTCGGGTGAGAAACCTCGAGGGCGAGGTAGACAAAGGGGCCTAGAGCACACTCCCCGAGGCGTGACGCGTCTCTGCCGGCCCGGGGGCTAGGGTTGGCCCGGGGGCTAGGGTTGGCCCGGGGGCTAGGGTTGGCCCGGGGGCTAGGGTTGGCCCGGGGGCTAGGGTTGGCCCGGGGGCTAGGGTTGGCCCGGGGGCTAGGGTTGGCCCGGGGTCTAGGGTTGGTCCGGGGGCTAGGGTTGGCCCGGGGGCTAGGGTTGGCCCGGGGGCGGCACCGTGCGTCTCGTGGAGGAAGAGGCGGAGCACGTTCGGGTGAGAGTCGCACTCGATCAAGGTGCGGACCTGGGGTCAGGGTCAGGGTCAGGGGTCAGGGTTAGGGTTAGGGTTAGGGTTAGGGTTAGGGTTAGGGTTAGGGTTTGGGTTTAGAGAGTCGCACTCGACGAAGGTGCGGACCTGGAGTACCCCTTACTGACTTAATCAACTATTGACTAATTAACACGACGAGGGCGCGGACCTCTCTGCGCGCGAGCGCCGCGTGCGACGTCAGCAGCCTCTTGGCGGCCACTCGCCTTGCGGGGGGACATGTCGTGGACACGTCACGGACCACCGCGACGTCAGCAGCTTCTTGGCGGCCTCTCGCCTGCGGCCGAGTCTCGCCGAGAGGACGACGGTCCTGTTCACAGCTAATTAATTAATTAATAATTAATTAATTAGGCTCGAGTCTCGCCGAGAGGACGACGGTCCCGTTCGAGCCCGTCCCCAGCACCTCCTCCTCGTAGATGACCAGCCGGCCTAGTGGCATGTCTCGGACATGTCGTGGACGTGTCTAGCACCTCCTCCTCGTAGATGACCAGCCGGCCTAGTGGCATGTCTCGGACATGTCGTGGACGTGTCTAGCACCTCCTCCTCGTAGATGACCAGACTGCCGACGCGAGTGCCGCGCCGCCCGCCGCCACGCCAGCCGAGGAGCCGCGCGGAGCCGAGGCGGCAGCAGCGGGCGAGGGCGAGGAGGGCGCCGCCGCCCAGCAGCAAGGTGAGCAGCGCCGCAGACACGCCGCCCTCGCCGACCGCCGCCAGCTTCGCCCGCCGCAGCAGCGGCGCGCCGGGTGCAGCCGAGAGCGGCGGCGGCGGCGGCGCTCCGGCGGGCGGCGCGTAGAAGGAAGGGTGATAGAGGGAGGGCAGCGGCGGGGCGGAGAGAGGGAGGTACTCTTGCGGCGCGAAGGGCGCGACGGGCGGCCGCCACACGAGCGCACCTCCCTCCACGCCTCCCTCCACACCTCCCTCCACGCCTCCCTCCACGCCTCCCTCCACGCCTCCCTCCACGCCTCCCTCCCCCCCGGGGGCGGGAAGCAGCCTCGCCGCGTCTCCGATCCGCCGCCGCTCCGGCAGGCCGGCGGCGGAGAGGAGCGCCTGATCTCGGGCAGACGCCGGCTAAGCAGAGAGGGTGCGGCAGAGAGGTTCCGGCAGAGAGGGTGCGGCAGAGAGGGTGCGGCAGAGAGGGTGCGGCAGAGAGGGTGCGGCAGAGAGGGTGCGGCAGAGAGGCGGTGGCAGAGAGGTGCGGCAGAGAGGCGGCGGCAGAGAGGCGGCGGCAGAGAGGCGCCTCGGCAGGCGCGTCGGTCCACGAGCCGCTGCGGAGGCGGAGGAGCTTTCGCCAGCCGCGCGGGAGCTGCGCCGGCGCGAGCGTCTCGTTGTGCAGCGACCGGTTGTAGATGTACGACGCCGCCCGCGCGTGCGTGTCGGGAGAGAGCACGAGCGGCAGCTCCGCGACCGCCCTCTCCGCCCACGCAGCGAGCACGAGCGCCGAGGCGGGCTGGCAGCGCTGCGAGCCGGCGTCGCACAGCAGACCGAGCAGCCGCCCGTCGCCCACGTCGAGCGCGAACGGGAAGAGCGGCGCGGGCTGCTGCGCCTGCGCCAGCGCGGTGCCCGTCTGACCGAGGCTACGATTGCTAGGCGGCGCCGGCGCGGCCCGAGGCCGCGGCTGGTCCTCCTCCTCGGGCGCCTCGCAAACCTCCCACGCGTCGTCCTTGCCCACCTCCACGCCCATCGCCCCACACCGTGAGACGCTGGATTCGACCACTGGGCTGTTTGGGGAGTTCTGTGGGTCCAGGTTTTCTTTAAATTCTTAAGGTCTCGAGGTTCTCGAGGTGGATATCCAATCAATCAATCGACGTCCTTTGGCCGCGTTGGGTAGCGAGGATTGGTGTGACGCGATCCACGCAGGCGTGGTTTCTGGCGGCCGACCGTCAGTGCACGGAGTTGCCCCTTCTCCGACTGCCCCGGCTAGTTCACGAGTTTCGCGGGAGTGACCCCATGCGTCAAACCCGAGTCTGAGCCTGACTGTTGTTCATCTTTCTACATACATACATATACCTTGGGGGCTACGTTTATAGCGCGACCAGTGTGGTCGTGACCGTGGTCGCAAGTTGGCGACCATGTTGGCGACCATATAGGGTTTTTGGTCGCATGGTCGCTGGCCTTATGTTGGCAACCACGCGAGCTAGGGTTAGGGTTAGGGATATGGCTGTCGAGCTAGGGTTAGGGTTAGGGATATGGCTGTCGAGCTAGGGTTAGGGTTAGGGCTATGGCTGTCGAGCTAGGGTTAGGGTTAGGGCTATGGCTGTCGAGCTAGGGTTAGGGATAGGACTATGGCTGTCGAGCTAGGGTTAGGGTTAGGGCTATGGCTGTCGAGCTAGGGTTAGGGTTAGGGCTATGGCTGTCGAGCTAGGGTTAGGGATAGGACTATGGCTGTCGAGCTAGGGTTAGGGTTAGGGCTATGGCTGTCGAGCTAGGGTTAGGGATAGGACTATGGCTGTCGAGCTAGGGTTAGGGTTAGGGCTATGGCTGTCGAGCTAGGGTTAGGGTTAGGGCTATGGCTGTCGAGCTAGGGTTAGGGTTAGGGCTATGGCTGTCGAGCTAGGGTTAGGGTTAGGGTTAGGGTTAGGGTTAGGGTTAGGGTTAGGGTTAGGGTTAGGGTTAGGGTTAGGGTTAGGGTTAGGGTTAGGGTTAGGGTTAGGGTTAGGGTTAGGGTTAGGGTTAGGGTTAGGGTTAGGGTTAGGGTTAGGGCTAGGGTTAGGGTTCGGGTTAGGGTTAGGGTTAGGGTTAGGGTTAGGGTTAGGGTTAGGGTTAGGGTCTAGGGTTAGGGTTAGGGTTAGGGTTAGGGTTAGGGTTAGGGTTAGGGTCAGGGTTACGGGTTAGGGTTAGGGTTAGGCCTTAGGGTTCGGGTTCGGGTTAGCGTTAGGGTTAGGGTTAGGGTTAGCGTTCGGGCTAGGGTTAGGGTTAGGGTTAGGGCTAGCGTTCGGGTTAGGGTTAGGGTTCGGGTTAGGCTTAGCGTTAGGGTTAGGGTTAGGGTTAGGGTTCGGGTTAGGGTTAGGTTTAGGGTTAGGCTTAGGGTTAGGGTTAGGGTTAGGGTTCGGGTTAGGGTTAGGGTTAGGGTTAGGGTTAGGGTTAGCGTTAGGGTTAGGGTTAGGGTTAGGGTTAGGGTTAGGGTTAGGGTTAGGGTTAGGGTTAGGGTTAGGGTTAGGGTTAGGGTTAGGGTTAGGGTTAGGGTTAGGGTTAGGGTTAGGGTTAGGGTTAGGGTCAGGGTTAGGGTTAGGGTTAGGGTTAGGGTTAGGGTTAGGGTTAGGGTTAGGGTTAGGGTTAGGCTTAGGGTTAGGGTTAGGGTTAGGGTTAGGGTTAGGGTCAGGGTTAGGGTTAGGGTTACGGGTTAGGGTTAGGCTTAGGGTTAGGGTTAGGGTTAGGGTCGCCGCCCCCGGTTAGGGTTAGGGTTAGGGTTAGGCTTAGGGTTAGGGTTAGGGTTACGGGTTAGGGTTAGGGTTAGGGTTAGGGTTAGGGTTAGGGTTAGGGTTAGGG